TGGAGTAAACAGGTCAACTCAGTGAATCTCGAGCATATCAACCACTGACAGTCCCTGAGTGAATTGCATGACTCTAACTCTTTCTACGTAAGAGTTATGCTGAAAAGTACTCGGCGTTGAACACTCCCAGAAATCTCTCTCAGGTCATAGGAAAAGGTAAAGTAGTTTGTCTTAATTCCCACAAACGGTCAGCTTCACCCACAAGCAAGTATGTAGTCAGGATCACTTTCTGTTCAGAAGTCACCTCCAAAACTTGGAATGCCTTTTCAATTTCTTTCAACCATCCTTCAGCTTCAATAAAATTCTTGATACCAGCAAATATAGGAAAATGGAGTCTCAGGAACTTTCTGTGATAGTCTGGATCCATAATGACTGGTTTTAGATTGTATGGAGCTGGTCCTAGAGGAGGGCCAGGTATCCCTTCTTTAGACTGGTTAACAAGCTCCTTTACCATGTGGTACAATCGGTCAATATGCGTCTGTAAGGACATGTAATCGGGAGGATGCTCTGATAGAGTCCGTCCATGTCTCATCTTACAACCCTTCATTCCGAAAAAAAAAATGAATTAGAACATTTCAAAATAATGTTTCCTACTTCTCAACACCCCAATAATTGTAAAAAATATCATTTTTAAACTCTAAAACCTCATACACAAGAGATGATTCTAGGAATGTAGGCTATGATACCACCTATCACGCCTTGATGCTCGATATGAGGCACAATTTCTGCTCATGTCATTTTCATACAATGGACCCATTAAATATATACATGCATATATCAAAAATATAATACAACCTAGCATCTCATGTGATATGTACAGTAACTATATATACAAAATATGATGTCATAATTTAGGATCTAATAAAATAAAATAAAACTTCTCAAATATGTACAAAATATACAAAAACAATAACCCTTTTACAGGTTCTACTTGTCTGATAGTGGTGTTGGCTCTTCATTCTCCTCTTAAAAATATAAGAGTAAAATTTAATGAACTTCATCAACTCAATAAATATTCTCATTCTCTCAACTCAGATAAATTTTATACAAAACATACAATAAAAAACAAAAGTAATAAAAATGTTTCAGTACAAAATTTATTTTCTTATTTTTACTAGGAATGTAGGCTATGATACCACCTATCACGCCCTGATGCTCGATATGAGGCACAATTTCTGCTCATGTCATTTTCATACAATGGACCCATTAAATATATACATGCATATATCAAAAATATAATACAACCTAGCATCTCATGTGATATGTACAGTAACTATATATACAAAATATGATGTCATAATTTAGGATCTAATAAAATAAAATAAAACTTCTCAAATATGTACAAGATATACAAAAACAATAACCCTTTTACAGGTTCTACTCGTCTGATAGTGGTGTTGCCTCTTCATTCTCCTCTGAAAAATATAAGAGTAAAATTTAATGAGCTTCATCAACTCAATAAATATTCTCATTCTCTCAACTCAGATAAATTTTATGCAAAACATACAATAAAAAACAAAAGTAATAAAAATGTTTCAGT